AATTTCTGTATCTTTAAAAGTACTGAAATGATGTACAAAATAATACAGGTCAAAACAGAAGGTATTAAATAGCACAAGTGATGTCATAGAACTGAATATTGCTGTCTAGCAATTTGAAACTGTGTGAGGCAAGTGAAACTGTGATTCTTGAGTAATTTACTTTAACTCTGTTCACATAATAGATTGATTACAAACTCAGAGGCTGGATTTGCATTACATGTACACTGATTGGTATTTGCATATGTATGTGAGAAAATTAAGTATATGTTTTAAGCAGACAAACCATTTATTTACTAAACCACTTTGTAGATTATTGTAATATAGCAACCATTTGGAACTATAGTTTTTCAAGTAAAATTGGGTGATATGTTTACTCTTTAACTGTCGTTCTTTAGAGAATCAAAATTCTCTGTCAAACTCTCATACTAAGAAATCAAAATTTACCATCTGCTATTTAATTATATTTTTAATGTTCTGATAATGACCACATTACTCCTTCCCCTCCTTCCTCCTTTCCTTCCTTCCTCCCTTTTTCCTCCCTCCCTCCCTCCCTCCCTTCCTTCCTTCCTTCCTTCCTTCTTTCTTTTTTTCTTTCTTTCTTTTTTTCCTACAGATGGAGCCCAGACCCTGCTCAAACTAAGTATTCACTCCCCCACCAACTCACAGCCCTAGCAGTGATTTTACCATTTGAATGTTTATACCACAATACTGTAATATGTGGTTTATCTCCTTTGCTTACATTCTTCATGAACTGTTGACTAAAAGTAAAGTACTGTGTTAGATTTTGATTAGTGTTTGGCACAATTTCTATTTTTACCTGGAAACAAAAATATATTAAAAGTGAATGAAATGACAAAAATCAGAAATTGTATTTTTAAAAGAAACAGGAGAACATAAGGAGATTTCTCAGAATTTTCCATTTAGTTTTTAATTTGGAGAAAATGATTTTAGTATTAAAAGTTTTTATAGAGCTATCCAAACATAAAATTGGAAGATAATTATTAACATCAAATTTTCCACACTTACATAGACTACTGACCCTGTGTATCAACATTCTTTAAGAGTATTTTTAAAAGGAAAAAGCAATATCCATGAACAAAAATATTCCTCACAAGAAGTCTATTTTTGTTCATATTATATTATATTGACTTTTGTTTTCTTGACATAATGATCTTCTCTCCAACATACACATAAAATTATAAAGCCATGAAATCTTGTTTTGAAAATTCAGTACTCTATGTGAAATTTATTTTTCAAACTTGTAGATTAATCACAAAACTTGATTATTGAAGTTGAAAGTGAGCCAGGTATGAATTTCTTCTGATAACAAAATTTGAACTTTGATTTTGTTTTTCCTTTTTGGTGGTTTTATTCTCTATGTAGAAGTTGGATACTTTGAAAACATTTTCTCCTTATATGGTTTATTTTTCAATAGGCTAGAAAATTTAAACCAAAGCAATTATCAATTAAATAATGTAAGAGTATATGTATGTCTATAATAACTTAAATAACTTCCCCAATAACCCACAAAGTACTTTTGTTTGGAAGATGACAACATAACAGTGCCTCACTGACACATCACCCATCAAAGACTGCAGTGGTGCAGGTTATTCATTTTATCTTCCTGAAGCAAGAGAGCAAAGATTGATGACAGGTATCAGCAACTGACACATCTTACAGTTTTTTTTAAAAAAAAAAAAAACAAGGATATATTTCACTGGAAGCATATAAACTCATCTCTTTCTCTTTATGAGTCACACTTGCTTTTATATAACATCTGGATGTTCCCTTTCCTGTCATTTATCTAACCTACATGCCTTTGGAGGACCATTACATCACATGCATTTATATGACATTTACTGTGTGAAAACTATGAATTGGAATTTGTTTTCATACATAAAAAGCACTGACAATTAGATAACTAAACCCCTAGACCAGGGAAGATAGTGCAGGGTTATTTCTGACCCTCCTTCAATCGAGGGGTGTAACAATTCTTCTTCTTTAGCCACCACACTGATTGTGAAGAAAAGACATAAAGATATAAATAAAATCTGGTTAAGTTAAATATTTCTATGCACCATGAGGCCCATGACATGTCTAGTGCTAGTCTGTATCATACAATAAGATGCATGCTCATTTCAGTTCCCAGAGAACTCACATTAGAGCAAGTCTCCAGCTTTTGTCAGGAATTTCTCATGGGTAAAGCACAAGACTGCTCAGGATTTGATCATTGAAGACAGAGCATTTGTTTCAGGAAGCAAACCCCCACGAATCACAGTTTTACGACTCTGGCAGTTGATTCCTCCTGTTTCTGCTTTTCCTGCTGTTGATGAGAGCCTTCAGCTTGCCATAGTCCCCTCTCATCTTCTGCGGTTCTTCTCCCAGCTGCTGCTGCTGCCGGGTGTCTTTGCAGTACTGGTTGATGAGCTGCATTTCAGAGTGGCTAAACGCTCCAAGGATGTCCTTCGGGTGGAAGGGCAGAGCCCTCACAGAGCCAGCCCAGGTCCAAGGGGACCATTTATCAGTCACGACGGCGACCATTTCTGAATCCAAAACTTTAAAGTTGATCTTGGCTATGGTCTGCTTGAAGCTGTTCTCTGTGGCAATGCAGTGGTACAGTCCTTGATCAGAATCTTGGACTGAACGGATCAGCAGTCCTTGGGACGTGGCTATGATGCGCTCATTCAGCTTAACCTAAGAAAGAAACACCGTGAATGTCCAAACACAGAAGACGATAATTTCTAAGACAGGATCAACATACAAAAAAGAATTGACTTTTAGGATGAGGCAAAGGCATCAAGAGCCTTCCTTCTCAGCATATACAAATTTTTGGTCGGTCACACTCCACATACACCCTTTTTCCTTTGCATTTACTGATTTTGTCCCATGAGTACTGAGGCCTGGGTAAAGGTTTTATTCTTACTGGGAAACTAAAGTACATTCCCTTTGGACAGATACAGTTTCATTGCATGCCCAGGATTGGTAGGTACTTTTGGCATCTGAATCACTGGCAACAGTTTATTAATGCAATTCATATGTTATTTCTATTTTCATCTTGGAGTTATTTTTTTCATTTTTAAAGTGTGAAGCAATTACTCGAGGTCTGACTTCCTTAGTCAATGAATAAATATTCTCAGTGGAATATATATGTGCAGAAGGAAAAATTTTTAATGTTTTCAACAGTCTTGTCCAATTATCACATCCAATAGGATGGCTAATAATAAGTTTCAAGGAAAATAAAATGCATACAGTAATATTTAGTCACCAGGAGGCTTACACTAGAAATAGTCAATGCTTGGATATCAGCTAAACACTTGAGAGTGATTGGTCTTACAATTCTAACTATAGAATTATCAATAGGATTTAAAAATACGTGTGGTAAGGCTTAAAGTCTTGGAACATTGTGTGGCGCTGTTTTGTGAAGCTTTAGGCTGTGTGGCCATGCTGGAGGAAGCAGATCACTGGGGGTGGGCTTAGACAGTTTCTAAACCTTGCTGGCTCTCTAGTCGCTCCTGCCTCCTGTGCCTGTTTGAGGATGTGAATGCTCCTTCTTCCCCTGTCACCTCTTGCCACCAAGCCTCTAAGCCATGGCATACTCTAATTCCTCTGAAACTGTAAGCCCAAATGCATTCTTCCTTTTATGTGTTCCCTTGGTCATAGTGTATTATTATAGAAACAGAAAAGTAACTAATACAGAAGTCATCCAGCATATACTATCTGGTATGTTCTTTTCCTTAATGAAAACAAAAATCTGACCAAGCAAGTAAGGCCATTAAATATTTATGAAATATTTTTAAATATCAAAGTACTGTACTGAAACAGGCATTTCATATTTAATGAAATCCAAGTCAAAGTTAGTTTTGATTTAAAATGTAATTTTCTGTACAAAAATCCAAAATGTAAGGACAGTATGGGTAAATGGACAGTAGAAAATAATTAGCAAAGCATCATTAGGAAGGAGTAAGGACACAAAATTTTGACAGTAATATTTAAAAATTTAATTGTATTTCAGGAATAATTTACATAATGAAGAAATTTAAAAGTTAAAAGAGCTTATCTTGAAGTGACTTTGATAATATTTCTAACACACTTCCATAATAATTGTCATGGCAATTTCTATATTTATCTAGAAGATATACTGTCACAAATATTCAGGCCTTTTAGAAATGTTCATCTATTGGGGGGAGGGGCATACTCATGACATAGTGAAAGTGTGGAGGTCAGGGTGCAGCTTGGGGGTGTTGGTTCTGTCCTTCCACCACATGGGCTCTGGAATCGAACACAAAGCCTCAGGCTTGGCAGCAAGCACTTTCATACCGTAGGTTTTTTGGTTTTGTTTTGTTTTTAATAACAGGAAAAGGAAGAAATGATCTTGAGTAGTAGATAGTTTAGAAAGTTTTAAGATGTGTTCATATAGTGGACTATGATATGTAATCCCCCAAAATGAAGTAGTTTCACATATAGTAATATTGATGCATATGTATAAACTGCAGAGTATTTCGAGAAAAATATAATTATTGAACACAAAATTTTGTTAAATATATTCTCTAGGAAGTGGCAGTAATTATTCAAGTGGAAGAAAACATTTAGTTTTCATTCCATCTTATGAATTTATCATTTATCTTATGCTTTATATAATTTTTGTTATTTTTTAATTTTTAATTTTTATTTTTATTTTATGTGTATGAGTGTATTCCCTGAATGTGTATGAGTGCACCTGTGTCATGCAATGCCCAGGGAGGTCAAAAGAGGGCACTGGGTTAATCTGGAACAGGAGTTATATATGGTTGTTAGCTGCCATGTAAATGCTGGGAATCAAACCTGCATCCTCTGCAAGAGCAGCAAGTACTCTTAACTAACCACCAAAACATCTCATCAGCCTCAATTTTTATGATATTTTGATTTATTTATTGGGGTGGATGCTGTACCACCACAATTCTCTGGAGGTCAGAGAACAGGGTGTAGTTGCTGCTTCTCTCCTACCACCATGGAGTCCCAGGAATTAAACTCAGGTCATCAGTCTTGGTTAGAAGTGCTTTTACCTGCTGAGCTAACTGCTGGCTCTATCTTACTTAAAAATATATTCTATTTATTATTTTATTTTATATGTATGAGTGTATTACTCATATGTAGGTAGGTGCACCAATGTCATGCAATGCCTGCGGAGTCAGAAGAGGGTGTCAGATCCCCTGGAACTGGAGTTAACAGACAGTTGTTAGCTGTAATGTGGGCGCTGGGAATGGAACCTGGGGCCTCTAGAAAAGTAGTCAGTGCTTTTAACCACTGAACCATCCAGTCCTCATTTTAGTTTTAAAAATTTCAATTATCAAACATTATTAATGTAAGAATTAAGCAGGTTTTCTAGAAATACTAAGGATCAGTAAACATTTAATAAATATTAATAGTTTAAATTAAGAATATGTGGAATTGTCATCTAAATCTTGAGAAATTGAAATAATGTGTGCTAAAATTAATTTTATTATAGTCTTCAATTACAATATTATGTCTGTGAGGTTAAAATTTAGTCAATATAGTAACACTTATTCTGAAATAAAACATTAGAAATATTGCAATGGTATTTGGGGAACACAAATTAGACTCAGTAAGCCTTTAAAGGAAGAAAGAAATAGAACATGAAAACTGGAGGTAGTATGGTGGGGGTCTGAAAACGATAAAAATAAATCATACAAAATTCTCAAAGAATCAATAAAATATTTTTTAAAATATTAGAAATATCACAAAGAGGGGTTGGAGACAGGGCTCAGCAGTTAAGAATACTGGTTGCTCTTACAGAAGTCCTGGCTTTGAATCCCAGCACCCACATGGCAGCTAACAACTGTCCATAACTCCAGTCCCAAGGGATCTGAAAGCCTCTTCTGTCCTCCACAAGCACTGCATGACATGAGTGCACTTACCTCCCTGCAGGCAATACATGCATACACATAAAATAAATAAATAAATAAGATAGAAAAGAACTATCACAAAGATATTAAATCAATGCATTCCATGTTGAATTTTTATTACTTTATATGTTATATACTTAAACTTACATATAGTCTTTATTTTTATTTTATGTATATGAGTTTGTCTGCATTATATAAGTACACCCACTTATGCCCATGGAGGCCAGAAATAGGTGTCAGATTCCCTGGAACTGGAGTTACAGATGTTTTTTAGCAAAATTAGATCTCAAATACTTTTAATTAAAGTATTAAAGTATCACACTTGAAAGGCAGAAGCAGGCGAATCTCCAAGAGACAGAGGCCAACCTGGTCTACACAATGAGATAAGGCTGGAGCTACAGGGAGAATTAGTCTAAAAAAGAAAGAAAGAAAGAAAGAAAGAAAGAAAGAAAGAAAGAAAGAAAGAAAGAAAGAAAGAAAGAAAGAAAGAAAGAGAAAGAAAGAAAGAAAAGAAAAGAAAGAAAAGAAAGAAACCAAAAGTGATAATTACAACAAAAAGTCTCAAAGTAAGAAGTGGGTTAAAAGAAAGCTCTAAAGTCCATCTGGCTCAACTTTCCTCCACAGAATTGGATCTTTGATGTAACTGATCATCAATCTATGATTAAATGTTACAACTTCATGGAATGCACAATTCACAAAAGAGCTCATAACATGTTTGGATAGGCAAGTGTGAGAGTTGGGTAGTGTTTCTTCCTATGGAGTCAAGGTTCCAGTTCCAGGAACTTTGATGCAGTTTCAGTGTATAAACTTGTGATAGTGAACATTCTGCATAACCCTGATTAACTTAGTGAAGGAAACAAAATCGGCTACAATAGGACCCACACAAACACCAGGACGCTAATTTCCCCTTGCCTCCATCAATGGTGCGCTAGCAATAGGACGTTTTAGGCTTAGGTGTTGCAGGCATGCATACACATCTATTCTCATTTTTCAGGCTAATGTGACATCAATATTATGGAATTCGTTATTTACAAATTATTATTCTATGCCATTTTACTCTGTCTTTATTTTGAAACAGTTATTTCTAACCAATGAAGGCTTGGGGATAAGTGACTTTTATTTGAAAATCTAGTGTTTCCCATACTTATTAATTAAAACATAAACAATTACTCCACATGTTACCTGAGTGTAAATCGAAGTCATGAATGTCAAAGCAGTGGAAACATGATCACACAGCAGAAAAATTTTTTGTGCTACAAAGGGTTATAGCCTAATGTAACTTCTTGTTGAGGAAAGCTGAACTTCTGTAAAGCCTTCTTTTAGCTTGTGAGTCACACAAAGATGCTGTTGTATGTGAACTTGGGTTCCGGATTTGCACACATCTTGTTTATTTCCCAAGTGCTTTCTTACATCAGCACCCCTTTCTTAGCACTTGAGCTCTTGCTACAAACACTGGGCTATAGAGGACGGCTGGCAGAGAGGATTTCTAATTCATCCTTCAAGTCTAAGGACAAAGGATTTTAAAGAAGATGGTACTTGACATGCCAATGACATAAAAGGATATTCCTACATCTTTCCTTCCCGTTTGATCTGCACCTCCCTGAGGAATGGTGATTTAATGTTCCTTCCACAGCCTTGATGGATGGCTAGGGAGACAGGGGGTCAGCTACTCACCTCTTTCCTCCTGTCTTTGTCTTTCTGCAGCAGCCACTTGATCGATGCCTGTGGAGACTTGGGCGCACACTCGAGGAAAGTGGTGTTATTTTTTATTCCATACTGAACAATTTCAGCTGCATTTCTATATGCTGAAAAGCAAAGGAAAATAAAACACGAGAGGAAGAATACAGAAGGTTTCAGAGTTCATTCTTCCATGTGAATGTTTACCTCTCTAAAATGATGCTCACTGTGGCAGGCACCAGAAAGCAATGAGTACGTTTAATGAGCAAACTACTCTACAGGGTCTACTAATTTTATTCAGTGTAGAGAGGAGGGGAGAAATACCACAAAGTTGACCTAAGTTTCTGCTGATGAGGGTGCCACACTTACTCAATAATTACTCTACACTAAGGATTGTACTGAACATGGCTTTATTTAATCTTTTTTAAAAATTTATTAAATTTTTTAAATTTATTTTTTTTCTTTTATGTGTGAGTGTATCACCTACATGTGTGTAAGTGCACCTGTATCATCCAGTGCCCACAGAGGTTGGAAAAGGGTGTTGGATTTCCCTGGGACTCGAGTTATGAGTGGTTGTTAGCCTCCATGTGTGTACTGGGAAGTGAAACCAGGTCCTCTGCAAACCCAGCCACATCTAGTGTTCTTAATCACTGAGACATCTCTCCAGACCCTTAATTATTTACTTATTATAATATTCCTGTAAATTATATTTTTCTTAGCTGAGCAACTTGATGCTATAAGTTGTGAGGAAATATACTGTAATGTGTGTAATATATGCACATATGTAAGATATCTATAATATATGAGTGAATATAGTGTAAAGCGCCAGGCAACATGGAAACTATGTTTATGCCATCCCTAACGTCATTCTCAGCATGGAATGAGGAAGCTCAGAAGCCTGGAAGAAGGACAGAAAGCATGGTGAGGCCACAGTGTGATGCAGTGACTGAAAAGCCAGTCTTTGGTGTAAGAGAATGAAGCTAGGATAAATTCCTGATCTTCCATGCTACCGTCTGTGTAACCTGAGACAATTCATTGATCTGTGTGTTCATTTCACTCATCCCTAAGACATATTATAACACTTTTATAAGTTTTAACAAAACTATTACTTAGGTAAAGCACTTAATGGAATCATATACTAGTTAAAACATGGACAAAAATCCTTATTTATGAAGCAGGAATAATAGACTTTGCTATAGACTTTTTTTAAACTGTAAATCAGTAATCATAAAAAAGCTCTTGAATTAATATGCAGACCCAAAGTTAGCATTGATATTTGGCATTGCTTACACTGCTACTATTCTCTCCACTATGCCAACAGGTATTATCAACAACTGACCTATTTATAAAATATAGGAAATGGCAATATAGATTTTTGCCCCCTGAATTGATGTATGTGGTAATGAAGCAAAATCTACCTTGGAGTTGGTCCTTGGAGTTAGGGTCATTGATAACAAGAATGTCAACTTTTATTCTTGAGACATTTTTTATTTATTCTTTTGTAATTTTGATAATTTCATACAATGTATTTTGATCACATTTAGACTAACTCCCTCATCTCCATCCAACCCTACTACCTCCCATGTCATGGCTTCTATTATTTATTTTAAGGCTCATTAAGTCTAAATTGTGTTGCCCAATGGTCTTGGCTGTGTGTCAAGAGCAAGTTCTTCCAAGGATGGATGACCTATCAGGTCTAACACCCCTAAAGAAAACAGATTCCGTCTTCTAGGTATGAATTGCCGATAGATCTTCAAGGATAGAACTATTTACTTACCTCCCCATTTATGCTGGGGTTTTGTTGTGATTTGGGCTGAAAACATACTGTCTGGACACTACAAGGTACTTGGCACATATAAACCAAGAGAACTTGTGACAGCATGCACAAGACCAATACAGGCTCAAAAATATCATTCTTTTTTTTTTTTCCTGATAGCGCAGCCATTAAAGGCTAAGGCTAAAAACCAAAACGTTAAAAATGTCATTCTTTACTAAAGGAAAGTTTAGTGAATAGGAGTGAGTCTCAGTTCTTAGTCCAAAGCCTACTGTGGGGGCCTATGCTGATTCAACTCACATTCCTCCTGCTTCAGGGTTCTGAGTGCTGGAATTACAGGCCTGTGCCTCCACAGTGCATGTCAGTTTCATCTTTAGAATAAATATGCCTGAAGCATTATGGTGAAAGCAGGTGGAAGACCTGCTTGAAGGTACATATTGTTGATGAGCCGAGGTAGAGGGAAGGGTTCTGTGGGCAGGGCTTAATGACATGGCATCTGCATCTCTATTTTAGTACAAGGAGTAGGGTATTGGATTAAGTCTAAACCACATGACAGACAGGTCAGCAACTAAGCCTTAGCTCAGACAGAAGCAGTGCAAGTTCCTGGCAGTAGAGTGGAGAACCAAATGTGCTATAAACACAATGGAATATCACATATCATATCATATATATATCATATTTATATAAATTCTGATACATGTTACAATTTGAAAGACTCTTAGAAATATTATCAAATGAAAAGAGCCACTTACAACAGCACAGACCCTAGATGATTCCACTTATACAAAGTCTCTACAGTAGTCACACTCTTAAGAAAGTAGGCTGGTTATTGACAAGCACTTGGGGAAAGGGTATGGCTAGTCAACACTTAATGGGTTCATTTAGCATTGGGGATGGCTGTCAGATAGTCATACAGCAATCTGGATATACTAAACCATACAGAACTTTATAGTTCAAAATAATTAAAATTATAAATATTTTGTTATGTTTATTTTCTTCAATAAATTCTGCAATAATAAATTTTAGAAGTAAAACTTTTTCTTCTGAAGAAAAGAGTAGCTAAGAGAATCTGCAGTTACCATCTGTGTGGACGACTTACCCGCTGACATGCTAACACCTACATACTCCCAGACACGTGTTTCTCACAGCTCTTGGTATTTACATAAGTAACTCTGAACATTTAATTACCATCAATAGATACTAGAAATTTTATTATACTTTTCTTAAGTGAAAGCCTTGAACCTAAGTTTTCCTTTATTAAAAAAGGTACAGATTATTGCTACTGTTTACCACAACTGACAATTAGTTGATTGATTCTAATACCTTTGAGATTGAATCCTCTGCATTGAGTCAGTGGATTTCCATGTCTCACATCTTGTCTTCGGCTCCTCCTGTAAGTTTAGGAATATATAAGAGGACTGTGGAGTGATGGACAGCTATGCCACATTTGAAACATCCTGTTTCTGACTTCACAGACTTTTGATTGCTTAAGCTTTAATATAAAAAGCAAAAAGAAGCCTCATCATCTGATGTAGCTATCTGTCCATTCTCAGCTGAGGAACCATAGGATATGTCTTATCTATATCAGGATATATTCAGTCTCTCTACATCTACCATTTGTGAGGAAATTGCCATAAAAATCCCAGTATAAACCAATCTTGGCTGGATGTTAGATGATCTAATTAATTTTATCATTTTTTATTTCATAGAAGCTAATACAAAATGCTCTAAGATGACACCTGCTAAATTCTCAACACAATACATTTTTTTCCTTATAAAAATGTTCCTGAAATATAAATGCTTTGCTATAAAATCAATGTTCTTAGCACCTAGGTGGTTTTAGACTTTTGCTTTAAAATAAGAAATACAGAAGTGAGACATTATCACCAAGTGTAATGAAAAATACTGCTGTTCATGCACTCAAATAAGTATTCCTACTCTTAAAATTTTACTGTAAAATTGCAAGTAAACAACAACAAAAAAAAACAGGTGCATGAGGACATGGGTACTAGTATACCTACCCTCACAAATGCTGTTCTTTCTACATTTACATTATTTTCTCTCATATACAAGTGTATGTATTGAATATTTCCTCTTACATGCAGATAATATGAAAACATCTAGAAAATAAAGCATAGATATAATACCTCACCCTACATAAAAGCAATATTCTTATAATGAAGTTATTACTATTTATCTAATAGCACCATTTAATGTTTGGGCTATAATAAAATTTTTCTAGTTTTCTCCAAAATATCTGTAAAGGAAATTTTTGTTGTTTACTCATTATCCAATTAAAATAAATTCTTTGTCTTTACTTGAAACACATTAAGACAGAAAGCAGTTCAAAATTTGAATTAAAACACTTTAAATTGTATGATATTTGCATAAAAGTTTTATATTACTTATGCATTAATTATTTCATTCCTTGAGTCTCAGGTTTATGAAATATCTTAATTTCAATTTAATTGTGCAGAGTACTAAATCAAATTAGAACAATTGGATTTATGTATTAGAAAAACTGTATCAAATACACAATCACCACAAAAATCCATGCAAGACACTCACTTTGAATATTGGGAATACACAAATTAATGGTTTATGTCACTGCTGAAAATATGTCTGAAAGATAGTATTACTTAATTTGTTTAAATATTAACTTTTTCTTAGTAGTTTTCCACTAAGTATTGAACAAAATGAACAGTAATAAAAAAGCATAGTGTTATTAAAAATATAAAGAAATATAACTCTCAAAGCCATTAATGACTTAAAAACCTAATTTTATTCTTGTGAAAATAGCTAAAATTTTACAGTCACACAACTACTTGCAGACATTGGTATATAAATTTTTACCAATTAAATGCCAAATTAAAATATTACATGATCTTTATTCAATTATATATTTCTATAGTGTCACACACATAGTTGTGGAGATGTCAGTCACTCATGTCAAGAAATACGATTAGTGTTCTGTGCCAGAGCAGCTCCACATTCAGTTTTTTCTGCCTTGCTCTTACATTATTTATGTGGGTGAACCCAACCCTGGAGTATATATTATAATAGGACTTTGTGAGAGTGCTTAGGGTTGACCTGGTCATTTTCAACCTTCTAGACACCCAATATCATTCACAATGTCTAAATTTATTGTTCTGTGATGAGCACTATCAGGTCTTTTACTTATTCACAGTATTTAACCTCTCAAGCTGGGAATGTGAATTTTCTATGTCAGCCTCCAGAGATTCAAACACAGAGAAACATTATTATAGCCTGGCTTAAATGATGAGATCAGCAAAGGCCTTTTGAATGTGTCATTTTCCTTGAAGGCATTCCTATAGCATCACAGAATCATGCTGGTAGGCAGTGTAATATTATATTGCATGCAGGATTTGGAATTTGGCTCAGTTAGCCAATATTTCATCCATTATTCTCAACTTTTTTTGATAAACAGTGAAATCATTTTCTACTTGCAAAGAAAGATATTTGAAGATTGAAATCATTATCTTGTCTTAAATTTTCTATTTATCTGAATTCAGAAAATAAATTAACATCCAACACTGCATTGTAATATTTGGTACAAATACAAATATGTAAGATATTTGAAAGTGATAAAAAAAATTTTCCCAATGTTTAACTTTATTATATCAATGTGTGGATTCCACTGCTTTTTAACTGTAATTGGAATTCTCTCTGTCCTTAGAAAGGATATACTTTTGCTTCTCATTACAATGAAGTCCTCTAAATAGTGTTTGTTACAGTTAGATAATGCAGATAAAATTAAAGGAAGCAAATGTGACAATATATCAAATGGTCATTCCCACCACTACCTTTTAATGTCTACAAAAAATAAAGACAGGTGGATTAATTCATTCTGCAAATTCCCTGTAGTATGTTTCATCGAGTTTGAAGAACTTGGAGAAATTAAATAGTATAGGTGAGCTCAGTGCGGTTTCTAGAATGCTGCCATCAACAAAGACTGGATATGGGATGTCTGAGCCATTTCCTTCAAGGTAGAATTAAGACCCTCCTACAGACAATCAAGGTAACTCTGTACACAATCACCGTCACTTTTCCAGTGCATTTTGCAGAACCACATTTGCAGAATAGTACATGATGCACTGGAAAAAAAAAGGCCTACAAGTTAATTTGAATTCTGTTTTATGAAGAGCGATGACTAGGTTCATGGTTTCTGCAAGCATGAAGAAAATGTAAAATCCGTGTTTTGGTGTGTATTAAAAAATGAAACTGGGTTTGGAAGGGGCGTACATGAAAAAACTCTAAAACCTCTAAAATGTAAAATACATCTTAAATATGCAATGATATTCCACATATATGGGATGAAATTTTACTTGAGAAACATTTCTTGTATGCAAATTAAAAATGCTAAGACAAGGTCTTTGCAAGGTTAGGGTATGGACTCTTTCACCCAAATGAGGGGCTGATGAGGGGGCTGATATACCTGCAGAATGATGATAAGATTTGATTTATAATCTCACCTCACTTTGTTCTTTAAAAAGTATAGTATTATAGTTTTCTTCAGCACTAAATCTGGTCAATAACTGAGTTTTTTATTCCCCATGTTAGGGATGCCAAGTACTCAAGCTTTAGAGTTACCACCAAGAAAAATGTATTGTCTGGCAAATGGTTAGTTGTAGAAACAATTTCAAAATATTGCTTTTATTATTTTTTGGTTGAAAAACAAATATTGTTGAATAATTCAATAGTTATTAAAAAATCAATTTTTATTTAAGATTATGTTTGGAATTTGCATCCCTCACACATTATGTGTAGGGTCTGATCTCTCCATACAGTGCAAATATAAAAGATTGTATGGGAATGAGGATCTGAAATTTGATATGGAAATTTTTAAAAAGTAGGAACTTTTGACTAACCTCTAAGAGGACATGGGAGAATACTGATTTTATGAGCATAGATTCAAGATTCCTGGTTCAAAGTGTGCTATTCCGCATCATCTTTCATGCTTGTAAAGACTGAGAATTCTTCAATGATCCAGCCTAAGCCCTCTCTACCCCGGACTCACATTTCTAACTCCCTACTCAATATCTTGACTGGAGTATCACGCGGACATCATTCTGACACCTGCTTCTTTCATAGCATTCACTTTCACAGCAATATGCGTCCTGGTGCTCTGATTTGGGGAACTTGGGAAAATTTTCACTTCTAGTTCTTTGACCACCCACATCAAATAGATCAACAGATTCTGTGTGTGCAACGAAACCTAGACCATTCTTTTGTGACCTCTACCTCTGACATCCCGGTGCAAACCACCTGCATATCTCATCAGAGCTCTTACAATAGCCTTCTTCCGATAGCCTCTGTCCTCCCACTCTGCCCCAAGCACTTCCCATTTCAAGGGTTCAATAAAAGCTAAAGCCAATTAGCAATCTTTTAAAACTAAAAGTCAAAGGGTGCCATCATGTGCTCAAAATCTCTCAGTCACCTTCTCTTTTAATCCAAGGAAAAGAACTGGGTATTTATAAATAATGGATGAAGCCTTACTTCATCTGATATTGTGACCTTTTTCTACCCTTCCTTTTCTCTGTTCATAAGCTAATAGGCACTTGATTCACTTTTGTGCTGTATCTTGAGTGCTCTCTGACATACCCTGGATGGTTCTTTCCCCAGAGGAAGCCTTGGTGCCATCTGCCTCATATTTTGTCCTGGTTTCAATATTCTGTCCCCACTATGGTCCTTTCTGACCATCCACTCCACCTCAGAAATTTGCTCCCCATAGTTTCTAACCTTCCTTACCATTTTTACATGCATCAACCTTGTCATTGTTTGAAATACATATGTACTTCTTTATTAGTTGTATGTCTTCTCTTTTTAGAACGCTTTATATACGAATACAGATATTTTTGGATTTTTTTGCTTTTCATATTTTATGCTTAGCTTCTACAACAATTCCTGGAAATTATTTATTCTAAGATAAATATTTGTTTAATTAATAGATTAAAAAGCATCAAGATGTTCTTAATATATGAAAATGGAAGGGCAGGGATTTTTAATGCATTAATAAAGAAGTATACCTGGTAAAAAAAAAATACGAACTATAAAATCATAATCCCAGTTTTTTCCCTGACAGATCACTGGCCTTCACAACTAGAGTCATTTGCTGCCTCCACTGACCCTAATTTTTACAGGTTCGGATCCTAACATCTCCATGACCTATGTATCACATTATCACTGAAAATATCTATGACCTTGGCTGATTTTGAGTACTGCTTGTCCTTTGATGTTTGATCACTTTCTCCATAGGCAATCCCTTCTAACTTGTTGATAGCTTTTGTGGGAGATAAAGCACCCTCCCTCTGACCACTTTAACCTAACCAACAATCACACAAAATAGGAAAATGCATGCCCAGAAAGGTTTTGAAAGCAAGCCAGAGGGCACATTTCTCAGAAGAACACTTTGGTAGTTGGAATGACACTGGTGGTTCCATTCTAGATAATATGTTGTCACTAATCTATTATCTGTTATATGAAGAATAAAAACTTCATTATGGATAATTAAGCAGTGTAGAAACAAACTAAGAATGTGGGATTTAGGGATATATTTAATCACATGAGACAAAACAGAGACACGAATTAGCTAGTATAAAAATAAAGATAAATGCTTCCTAAAATATTTGATGGGTTCTGGGCTTTCCAGTTTCCCCAAGGGAGGGAAGGAATGAGAACTTCCTGTTATAAAGTATGCCATTTTCTTTATTGAACGGCTCTATATGGTGATAAAATATCTATTTCTTACAGTGTCTATTTCTGTGAAAACTGCCATAGAAGTGATCCACATCTGTACTGCTCTGTGACAGCCATATCTATTTTATTTGAATGTCTGAAACTTACCTTTTCCCAGTGGGGTAGAACCTGGAGCAAGAGTGGCCATCCCAGGCACAGTATGGGTCCCTTGCCAGGCAGCAGTCAGCACAGGCTGTGCCGTAGATGTGGCAGCGGTGCAGGGACACTTGGGAAACCCCCTCATTGGAGCTCACATACAACTGTTGCTATAAGAAGAATCATGATGATTTATTTCAGATGTGGAAGTTAAAAGAATACATTCAGCAGGAACACATTATAATATATGGCTGCAAACCCATGGACCCATGGATTCATTCTAAAACATACTAAAAATGATACACAAAGCACAGAAGGCTCTATAGCCAAAATAAATACAATTTTCCAATGTTAATATGCCTATAACATTACCACTTTCCTGCTTTAAAAAAAACCGTAGTATACCATGTTGAATGGAAAAGTGTTTTAAACATTGGCATTCATTGTTCTCTCAGATTTGAGCTAATATATTACAGATTTAAATTACAATGTTTTCTTTTTCCTTCAACTGCTGTCTATTAGCAAAGCACAAGAAAAACTTTCTTATTTTTTACATCTGGCAGTATAAGTCAAATTCAAAATAAAATACATAAGCTTAGAAGAAAAATAGATGATCAGAATTAGGCAAAATGAAAAAGAAATATGTTGGATACATGTCTTTGACAGTAAAATGTTGCTTATTAAAACTACTTTTAGAGCATGTGAAAGATTTTCAGTGTTTACTTCGTATATGTGTGTGTGTTTGAACTGTTGCATGCACACGTGTCTGCAGTAGCATGTGCCTGCGTGCAAAAAAGCCAAGGCCAGAGAAGGACAGTGGATGTCCTGCTCTATCACAGCCTGTCTTATTCCTTTGAGAAAGGGTCTCTTACAGAACCCAGAGGTAGGATGGCAGCCAGCAAGCCCTGCCACTCTCATGTCTCTGCTCTGTGTTATGCAGAAATTCAAATGGTCAAAACTGGCTCTTTTCCATGGGTGCTATGATCTGAAATTGGGTCTTAATGCTTGTAGGGTAAGCCTATGGACTGAAGTACCTCTCCATTCAGAATATCGATGTTTATATTTAAAAATGTCTTAATATCTCTGCCTTGTCTAAGCATCTTCATTACTCTAACAAAGTAAACAACAATAAAAAAGAGTCTAGCCCTTTCATTTGTTAGATATTGAGCGATTTGAAGGATAGTGATTCAATACTTTTAGCTGAGCATGCAAATGTTCTCAGGAGATCAAAGAATGAATATTAAATTCCTCATCTTTATGTTCCAGAGGGCTAGTATTATACAATTGCAGTTAACACAGAATCTCTAAGTAGAAAATTGAATAGATGTGGATGTATGTGTGTGTGTGCCCTTGCCCATATGTGCATACTCATTTAAATATTAAATACACAGACGGATCCTTTAAGTAATAGTGTCTGAATTTCTACTGAGGTCTTGGGCACCAGGCTCAGCTCAGCCACAGATCTGCTTGTGCCCTTTTTGAACCAGCTGTTTTCTTGGTAAAACTGGGACAACAGAACACTTACTCTATGAAGTTTTCATAACAAATATATGTATCAGAGCTACTAAGATCTAAAATGCTCAGTATAGCTTCAAGCTTGTAAAGAGACAATTAATATGAATTAATTACAACAGCAGAATAAAATGCCAGTGAACAAACTATCAACTTTTGGGTTTTCAATTTTAATCATTTGAATCATATCTCATTCTGTCATTTCTCACTTAGCTATTTTATTCAGATCAATTGATTTTTTTCAGCGATTATCTGAAATTGATGGATTTCCATTTAGACATTTCAATCACATAGAAAGAATGGCATGCTTTGTATTTTGACAATCATCACTCCTCTAAGAACATTTGAAATACATGTTTATCACCAAGCCCTATCACCCAGGCCTATAATTTCAGTCATTTGGGAGGTTGAAACAGGAGGGCGACCATTCAAGGCCTGCCTGACTACAGACTCCCTTCACAATACCCAGCCAGGCAGCTTGATGAGCCTTGTCTCAAAATACAAAGCTAAAAATGAAGGCTGAGGATACAGTTAAGTGGTAGAACATTCACTTAGAATTCATGTGGCCTCTAGGATTAATCCTTGCTAGCATTCCTTAAATAATTAAATATGTATTTAAAGGACAGAGGAGAGTGAAAGTATCAAATTCATTAAAATGTTTTATGGTGGGCCTGGAGAGATGGCTCAGCAGTTAAGGGCACTGGCTGCTCTTACAGAGAACCCAGGTTCATCTGTAACTCAAATTCCAAGGGATCCTACACCTTCTCCTAAAATAATAAGAATAATAATAAGAATAATAATGAAGTATTTTTAAATATTTAAGGACACCATTTTGGAAAAGGCAAAAATAATTATATTCTATAAAGATTAATTTTTCACAGTGGAAAAAATGTTATTACTAGGTACAAGAATAATTCTTTTAAATGACAAAAATGAATGATGAAATAATTTGAGTATTAGGAACGGTACTAAATTCATGATGATATTTAAGGATTTGTAAGAGTCTGTTTACAAACTGAAGTCTTAATACAGTATGCAGTGAACAAAATAATTCCAAAAAGTCAAGTGATTACCACAACCCTGAAGCTCATTACCTCAATGAAACATTTTCAAGTATCTGCAGTTTAAGATGTTGAAAATCAATGTAATATATGAACTATAAATGGGTTGAGACATACAATTTCATGCAAGACCACTCTGACACACACATGAATTTGTGAATTTTGAATTTTGCTCCTGTACTTTCCCTTCCCATTAAGCCATTGTAAACAAAGTACTTCCCTGCTGACTTCAAAGACAACTCTGACTGGAGATCAGCTCCCTGGGACATTAACAAAATGACAAATGGCTTCTTGTTACTTGGGAAAACGTTTGTTATGCACCATACAAACATTTTTACAGATGAGCTCTTTAGCTCTATTGTGTCCTATTTATTTTTCCTCATAAAATTTAGTCAAGTGCAAAGAGCAGGAGACAGACTCTGGGCTACTACATTATGTCTAACACACCAAATATGGTGAAGAAGACTGAGATTATATAATCAGATGTGCAAACCTCTAAAATCTTTATTCTCTATTCCAAGAAAAATAAAATCTAAGACACTAACAGACAGCATTAGCTGATGACTCATTTTATTTTAGGCAGTTTACATATATCTTCTTTTTTGTGAGAAAGTCATTACTCTGCAGATGTAGAAACTTAGGTCAGAGAAGTTAAACAATTTTCTCATAATTTATGGTCAGGTTGGGACTCAAATACATGTGAAACCCACTCATCTGACTATATTAGGGAGCTGAATCTAAGAGTTTTAGTTTTAAGATAATGCCATCAGGCTTTGGACTTTGTTGTGGCTTAGACATGGAAACGTCAGAATTGGTACCATGATGGTTGTATATTTGCATGTGAAGGCAACTTAGATGAACCAGACTTCTGAAATCTTTATCACAGAGTCCTTCCTCAAATCCAGACCCCTACACATTTTGATTTTCAGGGATTTTGAGATGTATGTAAACCTTAGGAAATACCATATCATGATATTTCAAAGACATAACAGCATCAGCAACTCAATAGAATATTGGACACTCACCAAGCCACAGAAAATGCTGTGTTGTTATAGCAGCCCAAACATTATAGCATGTTCTTCCTGAAGAATGATGACTTTTATTTTAGTTGGATTCACACATCATAATATTTGAAGATATTTCATATAGGAAGTGCTGGAATGTCTTCTTGTATATATTTGATCAACTCTCATGAACATATACAGTAACAAATTTATTCACTTTTAACAAATAGCTAGTAAAGTCTATATCAGAATTCTAGGTGCTATGAGTCAATATTTATCAATAGTAACCCTAAATTTTCAGAAATTGTACTTCTCTTGATAGTAAGACATTTTAATATGCAAAGATCATAAAAATGATTAGGATTTTACCTTCTTGGATGAAATTTTCATTGATGTTATAGGAACACGATTCTAAAAAAATGAGGAAACATATGTTAGTTTGTTCATTCTGTCTCTAAAATATTTAATTTAAATATTTTTTGTAAAAATTCAAATACTTTTTCATTAAAATATAACTTTCTCAGTAAAGTGCATTTCTTCTGGGACTAAGAATTGATTTTTTGTGTGGTATATGCCTAAACTTGAAAGGATATAATTAAAACACATTTATCAGTACAATCATTCAAAAATGAAAAGTGACAAACAAGATTACTGAAAAATGTGTTTGGAATATTGAACTGAGGACTAGATCTGGATGGGCAGATTGGGGAGGCTGTGGCCAGGCGTCCTTCAGAACACAAACAGACTGCAAGAGACACTATTGTTCATGTGACAAGTGTTGTTTTGGAAAGATGTATTAGGCTGAATCATGCTACTGAAGTCTCATTGGTGAAAACAAAGAAATATTGTTAGATTAAACCTTCTCTTTATAAACATGAATGAGTGAAAGAACCCAGGAATCACAGAAAGAGTAATCCTTCTGAAGATCATTCTCTCCATGACTTTGCTCTCTAAATTTCTTTTGGGTGTATTTATTTTTATTTTTATGCGCATTAATGTTTTGCCTGCATGTATATATGTGCACCATGTTGAGAAATTTCCAGAGACCAGAAAAGAGTGGTGTTGGATCTTCTGGAGTTGGAGTTAAGGATAGTTGTTAGCCACCTTGTAGGTATTGGGAACCAAACCCAGATTCTCTGGAAGAGCATCCGGTGCTTTTTACTGCTGAGCCATCTCTCTAGTCCATGACATTGCTTCTCACATACATATTATCAATTACTTTTGGACTTAAAAGTTAGATTTCTGATAACATCATGTATTTGGAGATTTAAATAATTCAAAGAGGAGCAAGGTCTCAAAATGAAGTATTTTTGTGTCTTCAGATTGTATATATTTACACACATTTAAAAGGAAAACTGTGATATTTCCAAGTCTCATTTGCAATAACATTGTGTTCCTTTATTAATACACACACACACACACACACACACACACACACACACACACACACCATAGATATGTCGTTTTATAGTCACTGAGTCAACCATAAAAAGTTGTACTTTTCATTCAAGTTAAGCTTAAGGAAATGAGACATATTCAGGGAATATGAACAGAGGATTAAAGGAAGAGATTCTGGTTTTGCCTGTATAAAATGAGTGCCTTTGTGAAAAAAGTGGCATTGATATTTCTGCAGTATATCTGCTTGGCACTTAGCTAAGGATTATTTTCCTATTAAAATGAATTATTTCCTTACATGCCCTTCACAATGTGTCATACACACCCAATAATTTTTACCTCACCTTAAAAATATGTGACACAGAAACATACTGGAGACAGTTACTACACTTGGTAACTGTGTCTTTTGATTCTGCTCTATTGGGTAGAGGGAGTACAGTAAAGAGGTACAAGCACAGGCATCAGTAAGGAAGCACCAGTATTTTTTACTCACTTAGGGTGATGCCCCATATTCATTTTGACTGACTCTGTATTTCCACTGAGAGTTTATTCTTCTTGATGATAACAACATAATAATTCATGTAACAGCCCATAAGTAGTTCTCACTGGATCAAAATAACTCACATTTCTTTAAGACTTTCCATAACATACATGTTTAGGTTTGTGTCAAGTTCACTTAATTAACATTTCCTGATAATCAAAAAAAATTTTCAGTATTAAAAATGAAGTGCTTGCACTGTGTCATTTTCGCTATCTTGAGGAAATCCAGAGTAAGACTTATCACATTATTTAGGCCACTTAAAAATTTTTCCCAGTTTGTTGAATGAGAAAAAATCAAGTATAGTATGTAATGAAATTTTGCTTCATTCAGTGACCCCATAAATTTCTCTATAAAGCAAAGCATGGGAAAACTACTTGGACAGATTAGTTAGTATTTATTTGATGGGCATAATTTTAATATGTTAGACAAATGGAACCTAAAGCTAAATGAGACTAGCATTAAAATTATAAATTTAATTACACACTGCAGAATGATCAGAGCTTCTCTAATTTTATATTTAACTCAATTATTTTTATATTTCTTAATTTAAATTTTTATTGCAAAATCTAACAGCATTGTAACTTAAGCTATCAGATGCTTACGGAATCAATATTTTTTGTAGCCAATGTAATGTTATAAGGGAGTCAATACATTCCAAAGCAACTCAGTTAAGCAAAACAACTGACTGGACTAGCAATATTGTTCTCCTGGGAGTTCTGAAAGTTCTGAGTAAAAAGTTAGCTATAGGTTGGCTTTGGGCTTTTGTTGTCCCTAGGTCATTGTTTCTTAATTGGTTTAGTTGTAAATAGTGCTCTTTGAATGAACTGAACCCATGTCAAAGTTTCTTTGAGATCATCTGCCTGTATTCCCTTTCTCTCCAAATGCTGATAAAAAGACCACTTGAACTACAATCATGGTTCACTCCAAAAAGAAACCAGCAAGTCAGGACAACAGGTTTTGCTTTGCTGGCTCATGGATACATGAATAGTGAGCAGCTGGGCAGGATGGTCTAAAGCTCTAAGCCCAGCACTTGGGAGTGGAGGCAGAAGGTCCAAACTTGGAGATCAGTCCAGAGTTTATCTAAAAGATTTTTTTTTTTTTTAAAGGAATAAGTTCTTGAGCCTGTGCCTTGGCTAGGAGAGACACAGAACAGAAATTTCCCTTCCTGTAAATTTTGCTTCTATTTTCTTGTTATTTCTTTTGCTTCTTTAAATGCCAAAGTCAGGGAGAATAATACAATGAAATCTCAAGTACTCACAGAACATAAAGTTCTAAGTGATAAGAAGCAACATTTGCTTTATTTAACTAGAATGACATTTGAATTAAAAGTAATAAAACAAGAATTTAGCAGTTTTTCTTGAAATTACTGGTTGAAAAAATATGAGAAAACTTATCCAACAATCATTAATTTGTAGACATTTGGGTGTCTGGGGCTTGTGAAGTGAAAGATAAAAGCCATTTCATAACAAGCTGTTCTAGACCTTGACTACAAGTGCTTATTTTTAAAAATAATGATAACCAAATTTCTTCAGGTTCTGATGGCATCTGGCAAAAAAACCTGCAAACCTTTTAAGCTAAGATAACTTGACATGTAAGAAAATACTTCACAAAAATATTTGTTCTATAGTTCTCATTTTAACTGATTTTTTTCTGAAAAGTTTACTGCGTTCATAATCTTTTATTGAACATTTTCCTTCCCAACTGCCTACAGAACTGAAGACTAGCCCTCCTCAAACATGTGCGGAGAAGAACAGAAGCAATGGTCAAACCTTAAAGACCTCCAGCTCCTCTAGGATGAGCTCCCCACTGGTGGAGCTGTTGGTAGGAAGCACCACTACTTTCTGCACAGTGCCCCGATCTGGATGGAGAGAGAGAACAGGAGATGCTGTGATATGATCTTAAAGGGAAAGATGAGAGGAAATAAGATCACTGTCTTAGAATTCACAGTGTTATTAAATAAGTGCCCAGTCATCAAAAAGTTGATATATTAAGCAATTACTATTTATAATACATTGAATTTATACACAATTCTATATATTTAAATTGTGATTATGTACAACTCAAAATGAAAATATGTACGTCTTGTTTTTGCCCATATTTTCCCATAACTATCAAAGAAGAAAAGATCATCTCAATGTCTTAAGTCAAAAGTTCTGAAGTGAATGTATTCTTTTATCATTATTATTTTAATATTTTATTTATTATTGTTATTTTATGTGTATGAGTAAGGCTTGAGATTCCCTGGAACTGGAGTTATGGACAGTTGTTAGCTGCCATGTGGGTGATGGAAACCAAACCCAGGGCCTCTGCAAGAGTAGCCAGTGCTCTTAACCACTGAGCCATCTCTATAGCCCCATGAAAATTATTCTTAAAACCTAAATAATATAAACATTAAAAATATAATGGAAAAATTTTAGGTTTCATCATTGAAAACATTCCTTAATTCTCCACATTAACATTATGCAATGGTACTCTAATCATTTTGTTAGCATTAACCTATAATGATCTCATTATCTGAGAAAGCATTACTAAAAATTTATTTCTGCAATAATTTCATAATGTCAGTACTAGAAGACTATCATTTCACAGGTGACTGTGAGTTTAGACAGGATGAATATTTTAGTTTTCAAGACACTGTTGAACTGAGAAACATAAAAATGGTTTATTTCAGGTACGGATGCTACGTATAGAGTGACTTCGCTGACTTTGACAGTTATGTTTATCATCTAGCGCTGTCTCTTTGAAAATAGAGGCAGAGATTTGAAATAACATGGACCAAAGTAAAGCAAATAAGAAATATACTTTGTTTCCCAGTCATGTTAAACAATCACAATACATACAGAAAACATTCCTTATGCTAAGATTTGCAGTTAAATTAGTTTCACTAAGTCATTTCAGCATTTTTATGCATATAATTATTTTACTCTACCAATCGTGAATTTTAGACAAGAAAACTAGTTGAGATTTATCCATGGTAAGCTAAAGAAAATTTGTAATTTGGAAAAAAAATATTAAGTATTAAACAATTTTCTCCTAAATAATAAAGAACCAGATCATGATATCAAATTCTTTTTCTTTTAATGTAACAATGAACATATAATTTATAATTGATCATTATTATGAAGAGATAATTAAAAAATATTGTTTAAATTCTGTTGAGAAGTGTCACTAAGAAGAGTTATCTAAAAGGAAATTGTCCAAAACTTTATACCCAGAACTCATTGGCTATCAATACTACAAATCCTAAATCTTAACACTTTAATTGGTTTCTAGACTACAAACAAGTATTCCTCTGATATAAAGGTTACTATTTGATGCTTAGAGCTTATATTTTATGAATGTTATTGAAAGAGTCACAAAGTCTTTACTTAAAAATCATGGTTTAAAAATGTTACAAAATAAAACAAAATACCTAGTGAAAGACATGCAGAAAAATAAGAGCCAGAATTTGATGGAACATTCACTGACTTGTGATGATGAGATATGTGAGCACATGATTTTAGACGTCTCAAGGTTATGATGCACATTTACATTCACTGCTTAAGCCAAACCATAAGCTAGTAACAGACCCAAGCTTTGCAGGTGTCATTTATAAACTAACAGTGTTCTGCTCCCTGGTCATGATTTGGGATTTTTTTTTTCCTGGACGCTAAGAATATAGGAAAATTTTGAAGCAAGAAAACTTTCTGGATGCTATACATAAATATCGTAGTGGAAAATGGATGAATGTGATTAGAGATGTTCTTCAGTTTCTAATAACAATCCATTACAATGATCATTGGAGACATCTAAAGAAATACCACACAAGCAAAGATCCTATTCAGAAAACCTTGAAATTGTGACAGATAGAGCAAGGTGTGGTGTGTGTGTGTGTGTGTGTGTGTGTGTGTGTGTGTGGTGTATTTGTTTATGTGTGCATGTGTTTGTGTGTGTGACTCTGTGTGTTTGTGTGAAGTATGTTTGTGTATGTATGTACATCATGCAAATACTCCTGATGAATATTTGTGAATGAGTTATTGATTCTAAAGGCAGAGAAAAATCAGGATAAGAATTTGGAATTTCCAGGGCTGGAGAAATGGCTCAGTGGTTAAGAGCACTGAATGCTCTTGCAGAGGACCCGAGTTCAATTCCCAGCATCCACATGGCAGCTATAAACTGTCCTTAACTTCAGTTCCAGGAAAATCTGAAGCCCTCTTCTGACCTCCACGGTACTGCATGACATGGGTACCCTCACATACATGCAGGCAATACATTCTTACACATAAAATAAAAATAATAAATATATTTTTAAAAAGAATGGGTATTTCCATCTTTGATTAGCATCGTTATTATTAAGGTTGTGCTGGATAGCTTTAGTGTCTACTTGACACATTTGGGTTGAAGGAGCATTGAACTGGCCTGTGGCCATATCTGTGAGGCATCTTCTTGATTATTGAGTGATGTGGGAGGGCCCAGCCCACTGTGGGTGGTGCCACCCCTGGCCAGGTGGGCCTGTGTTACATAAGAAAGCAGGCTGAGCAAGGGCCAGGGGAGCAAGCCAGTAGTGTTCCTCTATGGCCTGTGCTCCAGCTCCTGCCTCCAGGTTCCTGCCCTGAGTTCCTCCCTTGGACTCCCTGATGAACTGTGACCAAGTAGATGTAAGCCTAATAAACCCTTTTCTCCCCAAGTTGGTAATGGTTAGAGTGTTTTGTCACAGCAATGGAGAAGCAAACTAGAACAGGTCATGATATCTTTGGCTCGTTATTGCAGCTTGTAAGGATTATTAGCATCCTCCATGCTGATGGAGGCAACTGTGGTGACTTCCTTCTTGAGTAAAGGATGATTAGAAGCTTTGAAGACTGAAGTCCCAAGAAAAAAATGACATGAAAGGGTGTGTTGATTATAAAGTCTCTCAAAGATAAAACTTATCAGCTCTGAAATTTTAAAATAATTAGGTTAATTTAGCTATTCCTTGTTGTATACCTATATCAAAACACCATGTCCTGCAGCAAAAATGTACCATATTTACTTTTCACTTTACAAGAAAAAAATTAAGAGTTCACAAATGAAATATTTGGTTCTTACCTTTTTAATCTAATATGTTAACTTACTATTAGTGCAAATTGTATATGAATCATCATTTTCTTCAAAAAGGTTTCTTGGTACAGATAATTAAATTAACTCATTCAAAAATCATGAAAAAACTGTAACATTAGCTGATTAAAAAGTTAGTGAAGAATCTATTTTTGACTAATTCATAAAAATGTAGATTAACACTAGCATGTTTCTTTTCCCCTTATTTTAGATATTTTTTATTTATCTGTTATTGATGAGTTCCTTGCATAGGAAATAATATGTATATTATTCTTGGGCTGTATTATTCACTCTAAAACAAAGTAAATTTTAGTTATCTCCCATTCCTTTGAACTTACTGATTTGACAAGAAATTATTTAGAGCCTTCAGTGAGTTAGACAGTAGAGATGAAAAGATAAATAGACAAAGTATTCAAGTGTTCACAGTCTGGAATTTATGATTTTAGATTAATAAGTATGTTCACATTAAAATGTTAGCCATTGTGAGAAACACATTCCAGAATAGCCATAAAACTCCACATTACTGACCTCCCCATAAAGACACCTCTGCACCCTTTCATTTGAAGAAGATAACGTATTATCAGATGTCTTTCTTCTAGGGGGTGGTGGGAATGGTATTTCTTAAAAGCACTCATAATTATAAATCCTTTTCATGGTTCTGAAGACTTGGAAGACTGCTCTCACATCTCTGGAAAAGGCATTACACCATGAAAGAGTTGCAGTGACGCAGTCTCTGACACTTTTACTTCAGCACCACTTGCCTTGTGTGTAAAAGGTGGACAAAGACAACACGTTGGTAGCAGATATCTGTTACTGAAGCCTATACAGAATCATTTATTTCCCCTTCTTGTGGTATATCGACAGACAACCTCTTCCTTCTCAGTCTGCATAGTTAAAGATGCCTCTGTTCTTCACCAACTCTAGGGAGACCTACATGATTTGGGCCTATCCTGTAATAGCATTCTTTCCTCTGTGATCCATGCAAGCGTGGCACAAGAATTAAGTCAGGGCCCAGAGCTTTCCAGGAATTGAGTAAGTGGAAGTTCCTTTCCATCAGGGTGTTAAAGTCTTGTATATATAAACCCATTCTTGCTACCACATGCAGAGACTCCCATGGAGAGCAAACAACACAGAGGAAGGCAATGCTGAAAGATGATAAATAATAAGTTCTGATAGCCTCATCTTAGTATAAATTCAACTCTGTCTGAGGCTGTCTTCTAAATTTTTTGTGGTTTTTAACTAGCATAAATGCATATGGTCACTTTCATGAGACTAACAGTAATATAGAAAATGCTTAACATCATGTTCGCTACATAGAGTACCTTCAGAAATTAAAAGTTACTTTTAAGCTCTGGACCATATTAAAGTTACTTTCTTTTACTGAAACTCAGTTTCTTCGTCTAGGGATATAGGTACTAGATCCTTAAATACATTAAAATATTGAAATGTGAATAAGAAAGACAATTCTTAGTAGTGATTTGCATAATGTAATGATTCAAAGAAAACAATTTATTATGAAAAATATATTATGAATTATATTATGAAAAACAAATTATTCAAAGATAATATGATTCATCAAACTACATTCATGATTTGATTTTCTTTTGTTGTGTTAAATATCTAAAGAAACTTCCCCCAGACAAGCTTCATTTCTGCTTTTTTATCTCATATTGTCTAGATTTCTATGCATTTCTAGCATAAGTGTTCCCAGCAATAATCTATAAGTGCTCTTCCATCTTCATCCTAGAGATCAGCCTGCATTTATAGCACAGTAGGTGTTGGCTG